CTGAGAACCTACTCCCTTTTTGAACTGGATTAAAAATAGAAAATCCATTACGTACATGCAAAAGAGCGACCTTGTGCTATGTGTACATCAATGATCTTTTAAGTGTATAAGTTCATTGGTGTACATTTAAATTTATACACACAGACGCCCCACTAATTTAATATTATTCATTACCCTACTATTGCTTTACTAGGATTACAGCACCGGGATTTTTTTATAAATAAAACATGAATAAATCTTTCACGACATTTAATGTTTGAGAAACTGTCTTATTATACTTTAAAAAATTCACTTATTCATTAATAGCTAGCTTAAAACTACGCGTTTTTACACTGGTTGTAAAACTGTGTCGATTTTCAAAATGGCGGCAAAAAAGAAAATGGCGGCTAAGGAACATTCGCATTCGTAAATTAAATCGACTTCATATTATAACATAATAGTATAAATTGAGTCTTATAACATTAATAGTCAATTATGAATAGATCCAATTCCCAAAGGAATTGTTTTTTAATGTTTTGTTTAAATGCAGAAACAATTAACATTCTTTTGTCTCATGGTGTGTTTAACTTAAAAGTAAAATTAGGAAAGTAATGACACCCGTATTAAAAAAATTTAACAACAATCACCTTTTGTTTACTAAAAATTTATTTTCATTTATAAAATGTCTTTAGTATCTAGATTGTAAATACAAAATTTTCTTTTTAACACAATATTCCGTACTGTGGCATACCCTTATTAAGTTGTCCCCTCTCCTGCTGCCCCTCTATTGCAGTCGCACACATTTATTTTTCAAAATTTCGGTCGAGCTATGCTCGCGCCAACCTCATTATGAATGAGCTATATTCAAAAACAATGTCCAAATTTAAAACGATGGAGAGAATTACAAGCATTTACAAGTGGAAGGGGACAATTTTATTTCCCACATAAAATTCGATTTACTACAAAGCAACTAATTCCTGATAAGCACACACCAATCGCGTATTGTTCACCCTCAAGCGTTAACGCAAATCAAGGTACATACACACTAACATCACACTTATACAAAAAACCATTGCCTAATACTAAAAGGATTATAGGGTTGAACCCCGTTATCAGCACGTTCGATACTGAAGCGTGTCAATGATATTCTATAAAGAACACATACGTGCATACTCAATGCT